GAACTAAAGACTGTGGAAATGCCTGGAACAGAATCTGGCCCAGAAAAAGCATCTGACAATGTCCATAGCTTTCTCATTTGAGGGTGGGATTTGAACTCCCTCCAGGTGGATCACTCTAACACCTGAGCCACACCTCCACTTCCAGCTTGTTGGTGGTTAATTGGAAATAAGAGTCTTACAGACTTTCCTGCATGGGTTGGCTTTGAGCCATGATCCTCAGAACTCAGCCTCCTGAGTAGCTAAGATTATAGGCATGAGCCACCAGTGCCCGGCTCTAGCATGTCTGTCTTTCTTTCTTTCTTTCTTTCTTCCTTTCTTTCTTCCTTTCTTTCTTTCTTTCTTTCTTTCTTTCTTTCTTTCTTTCTTTCTTTCTTTCTTTCTTTCTTTCTTTCTTTCTTTCTTTCTTCCTTTTTTTTGTCAGATGTGGGGCCTGGGCATGGTCCCTGAGCTCTTTTTGCTCAAGGCTAGCATTTGAGCCACAGCTCTACTTCTGGTTTGCTGGTGGTTAATTGGAGATGAGTCTCATGGACTGTCCTGCCTGAGCTGGCTTTGAACTGTGATCCTCAGATCTCAGCCTCTTGAATAGCTAGGATTACAGGCGTAAGCCACCAGTGCCCAATCTCTAGCATGTCTTTAACTCATGCTTTCAGGCCTGAGTGTGTTTGATAGGATTTCTCCCTTCCAAGAAGCGAGTGTCAGGGTGCCTTTGCAACAGTATGCCCACAAAAGCAAAGGGGAAGCGAAAGATGGAGGACATGTTGCCTGGTGACATGTGCCTTGCGCTGAAGTTCTGAGTCATGCACTTTCTGGGCAGGAGTAAGTTCTGGAATCCCCCTGCGACAATTCAAGGCTGTCATTTGCTACAAGAGGCTATTTCTTTTTCTTTTTTTTTTGGTCCAGTCGTGGGGCCTGAACTCTGGGCCTGGGCACTGTCCCTCAGCTCTTCAGCTCAAGGCTAGCGCTCTACCACTTGAGCCACAGCGCCACTTCCGGCTTTTTTCTTTTTGCTTATGTGGTGCTGAGGAATCGAACCCAGGGCCTCAGGCATGCAAGGCAAGTGCTCTACCACTGAGCCACCTTCCCAGCCCCAACGAGAGGCTATTTCTCATGCCAGTTGTTCATTGTGGGTTTGCACAAGAGCCCTCCCGGACCTCAGCGCACATGTGTGGCTGGATGGTGGCTGAGATGATCAAGCTCTAAGTTCAGTGTGTAGCTGTCTGATTATTATAATATGGCGAGTTAGCAGCAGGGGTAAGTTAGTAGCAGTGTGTGGTGACTCATGCCTGTAATCGTAGCTACTCAGGAAGTTGAGATCTGAGGAACTCAGTTTGAAGCCAGGCCCAGAAGACAAACCCAGCCCCAGGGAAACAAATCCATGAGATTCTCACCTCCAGTTAACCACTATAAAGCCATAAGTGGAAGTGTGGGTCAAGTAGTAGAATGTCAGCCTTGAGGGGAAAAGCACAGCAAGTATGAGAGATCTGAGTTCAAGCCTCTCCTTGCTAGGAGGCAGATTCCGATTCTCTGACTCCCAGCTAAAAAGGCTGCAAATATAGTTCCTAAAAAAATTTTTTTAAGCTGTAGTCATAAAAATGAATCAGTACTTGTTCTGAATTATCTGTCAGAGCTAGCCTGCACTGTGGAAAGTCCTTTTCATCGGATAAGATACAATTTGAAGAGACTTGGGCTGAGGTGACCTGGAGTCTATCTTATTGTTCTTTTGCTAGCTGAGCACCTACTATGTACTAATGCTTAAAATAGCAGTCTGGGGGTACAGCTCAATGGCTGGGTGTTGTTTTCATCCCTAGTACTGGGGGGCAGGGAGGAGGGAAAAAGTCTATTTCATCCTTAGCAAACTTTACAAGAAGACTGGTATTCATCTCTTAAGCATGTGAAGAAACAGAGAAGACCAGCGATGTTAAGTAAATCCTCTCAAGTAACACAGCTAAAATTTCAAAGCAAATGTGACCAAAGAGACTGTTTCTTTTGCATTGACTCTAGAGAGTCTCTGATTCTGAGACCTTACGGCACCCTTGCCCTTCACACAAGTGAATGGACGGTTGACTTTTTCCTTGCCCATTCTTTGCTAGTATGTCAGCAGCAAGCGATTCGGAGAGGCTTAGCAGGCAGTCCCGATGGAGATCCAGCCGCTCCCAACCACAGAAAGGAAGACCACATCTTTTGTAAGGGCCCGGAAGCTCCCCTGGTAAAGGAGTATTTCCCCTTCTTGGCCAACTCAATCCTTCAGGCAGGTGGGGTGAGTGGGACTGGTCCTTGGAGAAGCTTCTAGAATGCCCTGTGGGCAAGTCCTCTCCTGAATGGATAAGGGCCTGGACTTGGCTCTCGCAGGCCCTGAGTGAGCTTTGCAGGTCTTCTTCCATTCCTCCCCTGTGTGATCCTCACACACACGACTATGCCTTGGTTTAACTGGCTGGGCCCAGAGTTGGAGCCAGCCAGCCAGTACCCATGAGGCCAGCCAGCACCATGGCAGCCCTGGTGGCCTCTGGCACCCAGGACTGCCTGTGCCTGCTCTCTGCCTGTGGAGGAGAGGAGGACAGGCAGGCAGGCGGGTGCCCCATAATGACCAAAACATAGGACTGATTAGATGTTCACATGAATGCCCAAACTGGGTACCCAGGGGCTCACACCTGTCATCCTAGCTCCTCAGGAGATGTGAAGATTGAAGTTCAAAGCCAGCCCAGGCCGAAAAGCTCCTGAGACTCTTATTCCCAACTTACCACCAACTATCTTCAATGGAGGTATAGCTCAAGTGGTAGAGCACCAGCCTTGAGCAAAAAAAAAAAAAAGAGAAAGAAAGAAAAAGTCAACAGAGAAGAGGCCTTGAGTTCAAGTCCCAGCACCGGTACACACAGAAAAGCGAACTCTAGTGGAAAAGTACAGGGAGGCACAGGGAGACATGGAGGCTGGAAATCCAGGCAAGGGTGGGGGAGAGGAGCTTTGGGTATGAGTGAGCGGGCCAGGGCGTCCTTGTATTATTTGTCCAAGGAGGGGGCAGAAGCATCTTCTGCTGAGGACGTTCTAGGACCTTAGGCCAGTCCTAAGAGGGGGACAGGAATGGAGTGGCTGAGACAGGAGCCCAGGGAAGCCTGGGAAGAGCCCGGGAGGAGCGCAGGGGGGTGGGGGGGGTGGGAAGCCCAGGGAGATGCCACTGGCGCCCAGCTTCATGTGTGTGTGGGGAGGAGGGCGCGCAGCTGCCAGGCCTTCTCAGTTCTGCGCCTGCACTCACCAGGACTCCTCCATGGAGTCCACTTGCTGCATGAGGAAGAGGCTCCGAGGGGCAGCCAGAGAACAGGTTCCAAACCACTCTGCTGCCCTGGGGAACCGGACAGGAAGGTGAGGAGTTCACTCCTGTCTCCAAAGAGTAGTGACTCAGGCTCAGGGGCCATGGGTGGAGGAGATGGAGGCCCATTGGCCTGCACACACCTCTAGGCAGATCAATAGAGGAGCCGAGCTTCACACCCTGGCCTACGTTTCTTTTCTGCTCAGTTGATTTCAATTCCAGCTCTCCTGACTCCCTATCCAGTGCTCTGCACGCTGCCCTTCTCTTAGGCTAAGTGGACCCTGGTGTGCAGAGCCTGTGGTCACCTCCATGGTGGTATGCTGAGGTCTAAGAACCAGTAAGATACCAGGTGCCAGTACTTCACGCCTGTCATCCTAGCCACTCAGGGGGCTGAGATCTGATGATCGTAGTTCGAAGCCAGCTCAGGCAAAGTCTTGTGAGACTCTTATCTCCAATTAACCACCAAAAAGCCAGACATAGAGCTGTGGCTCAGCCTTGAGTGGAAAAGCTCTAAGATAGCACCCAGGCCCTGAGTTCAAACCACTGGACCAGCACAAAACGAGGAAGAGGGTGAGGAGGAGGAGGAGGAAGAGGAGGAGGAGGAGGAGAAGGAGGAGGAGGAGGAGAAGGAGGAAGAGAAAGGAGGTAGAGGAAGAACAGGAGGAGGAGGAGGAGGAGAGGAGCTTGTATTATGATGTGAGGAGGAACTAGAAAGGTCTCTATTATGATGGGATATGGGTACTGGGTGTGGTGGGGCATAAGGGAAAAGGGAAGGGCTATTCAACCTTGGTCCCTCTTCCTTTTAGAGTTGCATTTGAGCTCATACAGTCGTAGTCTCGTGCAGTATCCTAGTGAATACCATCAGAGAGAGTTTTCTGTTAGAACCATTTCCAGCTGCTGATGGCAAAACGGAGTCTGAGTCACAGCCACGTCAAGGGACCAGACTCAGGTCTCACCACCCGTGCCTTGGTTCTTTTGTCCCATGAACCTCCTCTGGCTGTGTCTTCTGCCATACACCCTCCTAGATTGGCGTCTCCTGGCCTGACTCTGAGGAAGCCTAGATTCCTTCTCTGCGGCCTCTGCCTTGGGGGGGGGGGGGGGGGGGGGCAGGGGCATGACACTGTGCAAAAAACTAAGCAGAGAATATTTTTAAACCGTCGGACATGCCTTACCACAGGAAAAAGAAAAAAAATCAAAACACTTCCCTCCATGCTCTGGAAAAGTATTAAAAAATAAGATTCCATGCCTAGAGAAAACATCATAAAACAAGAGTTTGGAGTTGTTTTTAAAGGGCCAATGCTCTCTTCACATCCCCTCCCCCCCACACACAATGTGTGCTCACAGACAGGGGGGACCCTGTTTCTAATGCTCCCAGAGCAGCCTAGAACTGCAAGGATCCACCAGCCCACATTTCTACAGCTGCCTGGAGATGAAGGAAGTCAAGAAGTCCAAGGGCTCCATTGACTCATTCGCCTTCACCTGTCCAGAGCTAGCCATCGCAGTGAGCATGCGCAGCAAGGGCCAGAGCGTGACAGGTACAGAAAACCCACACTGCCCTCCACCAGCCGAGTAAGTCAACTCTCCCTGTCACTGTCATGTCTGTCTACCCCTCTCCCTCCTCCCTCTCCCCCTTTCTCTCCTGATCACTTTTATTGACTTGTAATGTTCTCTGGTCTGAAAAGCTCAAGGCCACCCTTACCTTCTTCTTCTCCTCCTCCCTGGAGCTTCTGTTGCTTCTGCAGGCTCTGGAAGCTTTTCGCAACTGCCCGCTGCTCTCTGCTCTTAAGGCTGTCAGTGGTTTCTCTTCCACTCTCTTTTTAACCGGTGTCTGTCGCCCTCCCTCCGCCCACTTCTTCCTCCCCTTTCTCTCTCCACCCCTTTCCCCCTCTGTGTCCCTCCCAGCCACCCTCTGGGCTCACAACCTGCTGCCATTCACCGAGTTTTCTTCTTCCTTCCCACCTCTGCAGCCTGTCCTCCCCTGTCCTCCCTCAGAGGCAGGTGAGTCCTCCCTTCCCCTGACTGCCCTTCCCCAGCCTGCCCTTCTCACAGTGGTTCTTGAGGTTTGACCCCCCCCCACTCTGTCCCCTGGGGGGCGGGGGTGGGTGCTGCCTCCCCACATCTTTTCCTGCCCACCCTTTGTTCTGCCAAACCTCTTCAGAGACCCCCAGTCACCACTGCCCCCGAGACATTGGCAGAAGTGGCCTGCTCAGGAGATTGTCATAAGAGGAAAAGGTGTTCTAACACTGGGGCCGTGGCTCCCGCCTGTAATCTTAGCTACACAGGAGACTGAGATCTGAAGATTGTGGTTCAAAGGCTGGAAAGTCAGCCAGACTCTTATCTCCAATTAACCACAAAAAGCCAGAAGTGGAGGTGTGACTCAAGAGATAGAGAACCAGCCTTGAGCAGAAAAACCAAGGAGCAGTTCCCAGTCCTGAGTTCTCAGTACCTGCATGTGCACGCACACACACACACACACACACACACACACACACAGAGCATTCATCTCCATCTTGCCCACATTAGTGAGAAGAGCACCCACAAAGTCAAGGAAACGTGTTCCCTTAATCCCAGCCATCCAGCGCCCAGAGTAGGCACCAGGTTTAACCTGAGAGACAAAAGACCTTAACTTCTGAATTATAAAATGGGAAAGGAGGGGCTGGGAAGTTGGCTCAGTGGTAGAGCGCTTGCCTTGCATGCCTGAGGCCCTGGGTTCGATTCTCAGCACCACATAAGCAAAAAGCCAGAAGTGGCGCTGTGGCTCAAGTGGTAGAGCGCTAGCCTTGAGCTGAAGAGCTGAGGGACAGTGCCCAAGCCCAGAGTTCAGGCCCCACGACGGGACCCAAAAAAATAAATAAATAAATAAAAAAATAAAATGGGAAAGGAGAGGGGAGGGGAGGGGAAGAGAAGGCAGAGGAGGGGAGGGGAAGGAGAGGCAATCTCTACCATCCATCATGTCCTCTCTCTTCTCTAAGAAGAAGACAGCACCTGCTCTGTGCAAGCTCTGGGATAGGAGCTCCATTATATATATATATATATATAGTGTGTGTGTGTGTGTGTGTGTGTGGTGTAGCCTATTTTTATTTCACTCAATTATTCCAATTTCTAATTCTGCATAGTAGGATTTTTTTACATTTTAATTAATTAATTTGTAGGTTGTGGATTTTAAAGTCTGGGCCTGGGCACTGTCCCTGAGCTCTTCAGCTCAAGGCGAGCACTCCACCACTTGAGCCACAGTGCCACTTCATATATATATATATATATATATATATGTATATATATATATATGCTGAGACTTGAAATCAGGGGTTGGAACTATCCCTTAATGTTTTCATTCAAAGCTCTATGGAGCTACACCTCCACCTCCAGCGTTTGGGTAGTTAATTGAACCGACTCTTATCTGGTTTCAAATTGCAATTCTCAGATCTCAGCCTCCTAAATCGCTAGGATTACAGGCATAAGCCGCTGGCACCTGGCAGTAGGCATTTTCTGCACATTACATTTAAGGAAATTCAAGTTCAGAGAATTTAAGTAACATGATCATAGTGGCCCAGATTAGTAAGCAGTAGAGCTAGGATGAAAAGTCTTAGCCAACTGTAAAATTCATCTTTCTGTTCTTTCCACAAAAGCATTCAGGCCTCCCAGTAGAACGGAACCAGTGGAGTTTTGTTAGATGACATGACAAAATCAGAAACTGTGGGCATACCTCTGCCGCCCCCCCACCCCGGCCCCATCTCCTTCCAAACCAGCAGCTTAAGCATTTCCCTCTGGGCCCAAGGGGAAGGGAGTCATTCATTCATTCATGGTGACTTTCCATCCAGACATACAATGTACTCTGATCTAATTCTCCCAGGATGTTTCTTGCTTTACATTTGTCACCTGATGTGTCTTCATCACAAAACACAAGTCACAAATATTCCAACACTCCGTAAGTTGTTTCTATAGGCTAGATTTTTCATGGGTGAATAAGCTTAGGTTCAGAAAGAGGAGGGAAAAACACAGTGACAAATTTCTGTATGGGGAGAGGCAACTGCCCTGGCAAAAATCAAACTGAAGACTCTTGATTCTTTCTCAGAGTTCTCCTACCTTTTCCTGAATGGTTTCTAGGTCAGTAGATCTGGGTTTGAATCTTGAGTGCCACATATCAACAGGGTGACATTGGGCAGCATAACCTGTATGTAGCTCAGTTTCTTTAACTATAAGGATTTTTTAAAAATCTAGGGCTGGGAATGTGGCTCAGTGGTAGAGTGTTTGCCTAGCATGCATGAAGCCTTGGGTTCCATTCCTCAGTACCACATACACAGAAAAAGCCAGAAGTGGTGCTGTGGCTCAAGTGGTAGAGTGCTAGCCTTGAGCAAAAGAAACTCAGGGACAGTGCCCAAGCCCTGAGTTCAAGTGCCAGGACTGGCAGAAAAATAAATAAAATCTAGCTCTTAGCTAGGCACTGGTGGCTCACATCTGTAATCCTAGCTACTCAGGAAGCCAAGATCTAAGGATCTTGGTTTGAAGCCAGCCTGGGCTGACAAGTCCAAGAGACTTTTTTTGCCAATGAACTAGCAAGAAATTGGAAGCGTAGGTATGGCTCAAGTAGTAGAGTGCTAACATTGAGCAAAGAAGCCAAGAAAGAGCTCAAGATCCTAAATTCAAGCTCCAGTACTGGTGTGAGTGTGTGTGTGTGTGTGTGTGTGTGTGTGTGCATGCGTGCACACACATATTTACCTCTTCGGATTGGGAGAAGCAGAGAGTCAGTGTGAACACTGGCTGGTGAGGGAAAGGGCTGTGCATACAGCTGCAAAAGACAACACAATATAACACAGCTGCAAAGGCAACACAATATAACACAACACAACACCAATCTCCTCTCCCCCTGACACTATTCTGGGACATAGTTCAGCAGGTGAAATCATTGAAAGGCTTGGTGACTGTCCTCACACTATGATTTTATGCCTACATCTCGACCACTCCACAAAATAAGTTAGCTGGAAACATCCAGGAGAGAGCTAGCTTTAAAAAGCCACTAGAGCTAGGCACTGGTAATTCATGTCTATAATCTACCTACTCAGGAGGCTGAGATCTGAGGTTTACGATTCAAAGCCATGCGGAAAGACCATGAGAGTCTTATCTCTAATTAATTACCAACAAGCCAGAAGTGAAGGCGTGGTTCAAGTGGTAGAGTGCTAGTCTTGTGCAAAAAAGTCAAATGAGAGCATGAAGTCCTGAGTTCAAGTCCTAGTACTAACACACACACACACACACACACACACACACACACACAATGACCTTAAAAAAGTCATGCAGTTATATCTGAATGTCTCTTCCACCGAATCACCCTCCCCCCAATTTTCCAGTATTGTTCTTTCTTCCAAAACTCTACCAACTTCAATTAACTCCAAGAGTTGCGCTTTCCTAATCTAACAGCCTTTGGGACAGCTTATTTTCCCTACCTAGCCCCCTTCAATTAGTGGGGAAGAAGCAATATCAGGATGGCTAGAACCAACTACCACCCAACTTGCCAGTATGAGCAGGGTCCCACAGAGAAACAGATGTTACTTTCTCCCTTGGCACTCAGCAGCAGAATGACAGTGCTCAGGCCCAGAGTTCAAGCACTGGTACTGGTGCGTGCATGACACACACACACACACACACACCCCAGTGGCTCCTTGAAAATTGCTCCTTTTAATTCCTTTTCTCCAGAGGCTAGGGGGACAGAGAGGAGACCTTCCTCTGTCTCTACCCAATGAATGTCTGACTCTCCAGACTCTCTCCCAAGGCACTGTGGTCCAGATGTCTTCACAGCTCCCTCCCTCACAGCTTACATGGTGCCACGTGCAAATAACTTCTGTTAGCATCTAATTGCAAGAGCAATGAGTCCCCAGAGCCCCATTGGAGGACATAAATGGGTAATTGGAGCCACAGTTAGTGTGCTGGGGTCACACTTTGCTGTTGCTTGTGATGCAGACGCAGACACAGCAGGCTTTCCAGACACTGGCTAAAAAGGACTGAACACTGGGTTCCAAGAAGCAAAAACCAGGAAAAAAATACCGACTTCCGGCCTCAAGTTTTCATCCCTAGGCAAGGTCGAGTTCATATCAATACTTCATTTGGGGCTTATCACAGATGAACTTTTCTGGCATCCGTTATAGAGGCCAAGGAGGAAGAGGAGGAGGGTGAAACCAGTGCCCAGAAGGCCTGATTCTTTCCCACTGAAGTCACAGCAGAAATGCAACAACTATGTCCCAGCCTCGCTTGAACCCTAAGAGTCCTCCAACTGGGGATCTCAACTCAACAAATGGTACTTTCACCAAGGAGATATCGGGTGGTAGTTTTTGCCCTATACGTCTAGAAGAACCTCCTTGAAAGTAAGAAGAGAGCCGGGCACTGGTGGCTTATGCCTGTAATCTTAGCTACTCAGGAGACTGAGATCTGAGGATTGTGGTTCAAAGCCAGCCCAGGCAGGAAAGTCCATGAGTCTCTTATCTCCAATAAACCAGTAGAAAATCGGAAATGGTGCTGTGGTTCAAGGGGTAGAGCGCTAGCCTTGAGCTGAAGAGCTGAGGGACAGCGCCCAGGCCCAGAGTTCAAGACCCATGACTGACAAAAATAAATAAATAAATAAAAGTCAGGGCTGGGAACGTGGCTTAGTGGTATGTAGTGTGCTTGCCTAGCATGCATGAAACCCTGGGTTCGATTCCTCAGTACCACATAAATAGAAAAAGCCAGAAGTGGTGCTGTGGCTCAAGTGGTAGAGTGCTAGCCTTGAGCAAAAG